TGGAGGAAAGTGGAGCCCCATCGCTCAAGTGTTCTGGGCCAAGGGTCAGCTCATTCTGTTTTGGTTGTTTGTTTGTTTTGTAGCAGAGTGGCAAGAATGTAACAGACACAAATTGTAATTTAGGGAGGTTAAGAAGTCAGTAGGAGAAAGCAAAAGTTCCTGTGAAGAGAGGAACACATGGAGGGGAAGGAGAGCTCCAGCTACGAGCGAGGGCAGTAGACGAGGAACTGAAGGGGGGAGTCGGGCTGCGAGCCACCTGCTATGCATTGGCAGTCCAACTGCTAACTGCTATGAAAAGCTCCATTTCTGCGGCTTCAGGGATGACCTGTCACCTTACATGGAGCACCCACAGGGACATCATCTGAAGAAGAAGCTGATGTTCACAAGTCCATGCAACTTAATAAATCTCTAATTCATCCTTGATCCAGCAAAGCATATTTAAGTAAATGAAGTGTCAGTCCCATTGTTTTCAAAGGGACAATTTACATGATCAAAATTGACCACATGCTTAAGTGCTTTGCTGAATCCCTTTTGACACATACCAATACATTATTGCATTTATAAGTAATACGGTTACAGCTGGTTCTTGGCCTCAGGTTCAGTACCTAGTCAATTTGTTGTTCAATATCATGTCTTAAACCTGGGCTTTGTAAACAGATGCATCTGGCAGCAAAGGCAGAAAAAAGGTTGGTTTATAAAAATATATCACTGCCCTTCTAAGCATTCTGCCCCAAAGACTCAAAGGATGTTGGAGACCAACAGTTTCTTTTTCATCTCCTCCTCCTGCTTCAAAGTACTTTAACATAAATGTCAAAGCAAACCAGTTGTAGTTCTTAAATAAAAGTGAAACATGCAAATTCTTTGGGGAAGGTAATATGTCTTATCTATGATTTGCTAATTAATGATGATACATGAATTAAAACTATTTTCCATATCTATAACTATGAGAACACAAACATTCATTGCTCATGAATGCTTAGTTTTCTGGGTGTCGTGGGGCAAATTGAAAAGGAAATTACAAAGGTTTCAAGAAAATTTCAGTAGAGAACTGCACACTAACTTAATTGTGCATAAAGTCAGGAAACTGAATAAACTGTTTAATAACATAACATACAACATTTCTATCTTGCTCTTTAACAGGTATTTTAATAGCATTTAATCAACTTTATAACATTACCATAAACACCTACATTTGTTTTATGTAACTTAAAAGGTTTGACACCATACTCCAGCATGAGGTTCATGAAGACTCCCTCCCTACAAACAATTAACGATGCTTTATTTATGGTTCCCTAAACATTTCCTTCTTTGAGGTTTATCTTGGCTCTTTCAAATTGCATAAATATATCTAATTGTTGTGCGCTTTTTGTATGTGCATAGCAGGGGACTGCGAGGGGCTGGGGGAATATTACATTCAAGATATAGTTTAATTTCATCTCAACCACTGTAGAAGAATTAAAAAAAACCTATATTTTACATAGAAAAAAGAAAGAAAAGAAAAAAGAAAATTCCAAGTACTGTATTATGCTTTATTTTATAATTCATCTATTGCAGATAAAGTAGTTATGATATTATTGTTGGCTATTAGGACTCAAAAAGAGTTTTTAATGGTTCTCAAAAGAAAAAAAAACTTTTGATAGAAGAAAAAAGGATACAAGAACCTGTTGCTCAAAGAAACGAATGTGTTTTGAATCCACGAATATAATGTACAGTTTCTAGATTCCCCTTATCTGAGAAAGTTTGAGGAGAGGATATCCTCTTGCCCTGCTCCCCCAATCCATGTTGAAAAATAGTTCAAGCACAGATTTCCAGGCAGAATCCCTAAACAGTATGAATCAGACTGACTCAGTTATGGAAATGTAGAATTGTGAAGCCATTTTCATTAAAACATGAACAATAATTACATTGAACCCTTCAGGGATCACTTTGTTTGAAAGTATTTTATGCACTTGACAGTTTGTACTATTAAACACTAGGAACTGATAATATTTGAGACCTCTGAAGAATTGAAGTGAGCTGTGAAAGTCACAAACTGCTGACAAAAGGATTCAATACTGGAACATGGATGTTACATGTAATGCACATTTGATATTGGTGAGAGTTAGCAACAATGTTTGATAATATGAGAATATATGGAAAGACTTTTGTTCCCTAATGTGTCTGGTGCCTATAAAACGGGTCTGAGACATCTGGAAAGATTGGGTTTGAGAAATACAGATGGAATATAAGTGGTTCTACAATTAAATAATATGTTCAGCAATTGGGTAATCACTATGTAGACTTGGAAGTTTCCCTGATGTATTGTTGAGCAAACTGCCTAAAGCACATTTTAACATCTATTTTCTTAGTGTTTTCCATAACTCAGAAACGCATAAGGCCCCTTTTTTCCTACCTTCTGGGAATACAAGTTTGGCAATATTACTTAGCTATTCTAATCAGGTAAGTTTTCTTGGCTCTTCATATTAATCACATCAGACAAGATCATAGTGCAGCTTTTGCCTTGCAAAACAAATCAAAGTATAACACTCGCGAACTGAAGTTCATAACCCTTTTATTAATCCTTTTCTATCGTAGTCTTTCTCTCATACATGAACTTATTTGGAAACAATTCTCCTCACTCAGATTTAGTGAACAGAAACAAGTAATCTCTACCAACAAAGCAGGTGAATGCAAGTTCAGTCTGATTTTTACACAGAAACAGAACTGTGACTGTTTCAGTGCCCAAGCCACTGGGTGCAAGGGAAGGAGACTTCTTAAAGTTAGCACAGCAAGTGTAAACTATAAATTCTCTAGGTCGGTGTGGGCAATAATTTTTATGGGGGGCCACTCCAAGACTTTGGTATGTGGTCAAGGACATCACTTTTCTATGGAGAGAGTATGTGGTCTGGAAAGGAGGTCGGGTGCAGAAGGGAGTTTGAGGTAGGGGACTGGGGTGCAGGTGATGGTTTGGTATCTGAGAGTGAATTTGGGAGGAGGAGGTTGTGACCTGGGGTAGGGGATTGGGGTGCAGGGTCCAGGAGAGGATATGGTTGCAGGATAGCATTCTGGCCAGGGGAGGGCTGAAGGACAGGGTGCAGGATCTGGGAGAAAGTTGGGGAACAGGAGGGAGGTGCCTGAGACAGGCTCTGGCCCAGAGGTGCTTACGTAAACGGCTCCCAGCCAGCAGCCTGGTAGGACTCGCATGCAGGCTTCCCTGCCTACTAGCAGCCCCAGACTCTTCAAAGCGGCTGGCTGTTTCATGTGGCGCTCTGCTCTGCCCTTGGCCCCCAAAACAATCTCTCAGCTCCCACTGGCCAGTTTCCAGCCAATAGGAACTGAGAGATTGTGCTGGGGCAGGAGTAGTGCACAAAGCCTTCTCCCCATTCACCCGGTGCAGAGAGCCACAGAGAGCAGTCAGGCACTTACTACTCCTTGTAACACTTCCTAAATCTTTCCTCCCCAAGATGTCAGTGACAACTGCAGCCTGCCATGGCTAGCAGGAATTGGTTCAAACAAGCCTTCTTGTTCCTATATATTAGTGCCTTGTAAGTGCTCTACACAGCACAGAAACAGAAAAACTGGTTGATTTTTTTCTTAATGGAAAAAGGTGGTCAACGTTGAAGATTTTGTTTTCTTTAACTTCTGTATCCTTCTTGACTGGTTAGTTCTCCATTCAGTCAAGAAGTCAGCCCAAGACTCCAACTATCTGAAATATGGAATGCATGATTTTTACAAGTTTAGCCCCTGGAAGCTAACCGAACTGCAGCTCTGCACTTTAAATGTAGTAGGAGTCTGGCGGTAGTGAGCCCCCCCCACTGACTAATTGAGTAGTCGATGGAAATTCTATTGACTACCTGATTAGCTAATTAACCCATAACTTAATATCTCTAATGTGTACACCCTTGACTGAAAGAGATGACTCAAGTTTTCTTTAATACCGTTTATCACCTAATTCTACCACACAACCCTCTCTGAACAAAGTTCTCTATGGTAGACAACTGCTCACTTTCTAAAAATAATTTTTTCTTTTTACTTAATTTTAACGTCACACCATAAGTTTGTAAAAACTGTAGGAACTTGTGTTGTCTCTTCTCTTTTCCTGAAATGCCTCTCACAGCTAGCCTGGGTTTTTAGGGATGTAAAGTCCTGTTTAATAAGTTAACTGGTTAAATGTTACATTTAAATGGGATCCCGCAGGCGGAGGTGAGGGGCCACTCCAGCCCAGCTTGGCCCACCATACCATGAGCTGCTCTGGCTAGGCTGGGCCCACTTGGGTTGGAGCTGCTCTGGCCAGACTGGAGTGTTCCCTGCCTGTGGCCCAGTGGGCCCAGCTGGAGCACCGTGCCATGGGCTGCTCAGACAGGGCCAGGCTGGAGCACCCTCAGCCTGGTGCGGTGGGCCACGCAGGCTGGAGCAGCTCCCCCACCCAATGTAAGTGAGGGGCCGTCAGTTAACCAGTAACCAATAAGCATCAACCAATGAGATCCCTAGTCTACTTATTCTCTATATACTGCACTTGTAATTCACAGAGGACATTGGTACCTCTGTTCCCTAATGGACCATCCAACTGGCAAAAGAGTCACTGAAAGACTCGTGATGCTCAACAACAGAAAAAGCGATATTACTCATAGGATAAGAGAACCACTCTGACTCCTTTTACAACTTAAAAAAATATACATAAGCATATGGTTCTATGTTACAAAAATTAAGATACAAATTTATAAACAATGAGAAAGATTTAATTTGCCAAATATAGCAGTTACTCTATTGGGGGGTAGGGCAATAATTTTCAAATGTAGGCAAATGCTCAGTCACCTGAATAGATTCCAATAATAAAATGTAGCAGGACATGTGACAGATTATATTGGCATGCCAAAGATGGTTGGGGTAACAAGACATAAAAAGCCAGCACCTAATCCCACTGTGCAGAAGTCAGCTGAAACAAATAAATATATCTTTAAGAAACAAACATTTGCTGAAGAATTAGTCTGTTAGCTAAATTAACATCCCAAATCTTGTACCTTTTTCTTCTACTACATGATGTAGTGAGTCCATAACTCTTGCACACTGTAGCAACAGCATACAGCTAGAAAATTCTGAATCTACCACAATTTGATCCAGTGGTTGGAACTTTCCTTGCTGGAAAAAAAAATCAAAGGGTTTACAGAAACATTACTATAAACAACAGCAAAAATATAATAAGCCGTTAAATTTTTTTTAATGGATGGATTTTTAAACCAAGGATTACAAAGAAGGCTGGACTGCAAGTAGTTTATGAATATGTCGTGGCACTGTTTATAGAGCAACAAACTATAAACAGAGATTTCAAAACCATAAATACTTATAAAATATTGAACTTTTCAATTAGTGTACTTAAAAAGGTCCAGTTTTAAAACATCATGTAGACAAATTCAAGGTATAGGGATTTATTTTGGAATATGACACCCTAAGTTACAGTAGTTTAATGTGTGCCAACAGCTTTTCTAGACATAACCTGCTAGATTAAATTCAGCATCATAATTTTCATTCACGTTTTGCTTTTTCCTCCCTTCTAAAAAGAGGAATCTCAGAGGACCAGTACTTAAGGACATAGTACTAACTTTTCACCTCTGGAAAGTGAGTTCCAGTTTGGCCTGAAGTCCTACACAATTGGCACAATTTAAAAAAACAATGTACATGAAAGAACCATCAAACAAATTTTGCCTTTGCCGGACTTTACAATGTATAATTATTCAGCACAGTTTGGCACAACTGGCAACTTTCCCTTTGGAAATCTCCTTAAGCACATTAGTACAAAGGCTCAATTAGCTCTCCATCCTTAGAGTGAATGGTCTCTGGGGCCAAATCTGAAATCATGATGCTGGTAAGGATGACCAAAAAAACCCCCAAAGCCGGGTAAACTGTATTCATTATTAGAGAATAATATCATTGGAACAATCAAAGGATTCATGAAATAACCAACTGAAATTCACAAGGTACAAAACAAAGGATTCCATTTTTCATTTGTTTCTAGAGAAGAAATAAGAAGAGGTAATAATCTAAAGAAAAGGAAAGATTGCAAGAGTAAAAAATAAACTTATATTAAAATTGGACCGTGAATAAAATTTTCAAAGTGCTATCACATCTAAATGAAGTGTGGTAGATGAAAATCCAGTGAAGGTATTCTTCTGTAACTATTTATAAGAATGTGGACTGCTAGAAGATTGATAGACTACAATTCTATAAAATATATTTGTTTAGATTATCCTTTGTCATAAAATGAGGAAACATTTCCAACACGATATAGGTGAAATTGATGGTTTGAAATATGAAACAGGTGTTTACTGCTAGAAGAACATGAATAAAAGTAAGATTTTGTATCATCCACAACCTAAAAGAACAAAGAAAATAATTCTGTCCCATTCATATAATTTTTCTTCATTGAAACAGTGGCAGGGAATCTTTGAGGGAGAAACAAGAAGTAGGTCCTGAAGAAAAGAGAAACCTTTCAGATAAGTAAACTGAATTAAAAGTGGCATTTAAATTCTTCCGGTTAGATCAGCGGTGGGCAACCTGAGGCCCATGGCCCATATGCATTCTTTGGGGTTTTATGTGTGGCCTGTAAGACATTTTGTTTACTGTTTCCCACACAGTTGCCAGATTTTGCTGGTTTCAATTTGCGTAGTTCTTTTCCTAACGGTATTAGTAAAGTGACATGCATGTAAAGCAAGGGCACTTGAAATGAGGTAAATGCTGATTACACACAACACTGACTGTGAGAGCCATACTCTACCTATGCATCCAATTAAAGTGCTGCTACAGTTCAACTGGCACATCCCACAAATTTTAGGTATGCAGGTACCATCTACATGTTTTGTTAGTCTAAAAAGTGCTACCAGACCATTTGCTGTTTTTTAAGTTTTTCCTTTAAGATCAACCTTCCATAGAAATGTTTGCTTATATTATTAGATAACCAAGAGTATATAATAATTGTATTTGTCTATGTTGACCTGTATCTTGTTAGAAATTTAACAATATGATTTAATTAGCTTGTGGTAGCTAAAATTCTGTCCCTTTCTTTAATGATTCATTAATGTAGTATAATGATTCAGAGATCAAAAAGGGATATTATCATTTAGATGGGATTTGCAGTGTAGTAATATTATTGACTTAATTTTTCTTTAAAACTTGCAAATTCCACATAAGTAAACTAACTGTGACATGTCTGAATGGTTAATTGCCTTATGTTAATGAATACAACTAATTACCAGGAAACAGAGATTAGTTTCAAAGCAATAATATACAGGCACTTCCCGAGTTACAAACACCCAAGTTATGCACATGCACACAACTCTCAGGGGAGCAGGCAAGAGGTGCAGGCAAGGAACTGCAGGTGGGCCCATCCTCTGCCTCCTCTCCCCCACCATCCCACAGACATTGTAGTGGCTCCAGCAGCCCCTAGCCCAGAGGAACACAAGATATGGCCCACGGTCCTTTTAATTTGACCCATGCTGCTCAAAGTGGCTAGCTGTCCTCTATGGTTCTCTGCACTGCATGCATTGGGGAAGGCTTCATGTGCTGCCCCCAGCACAATCTGTCAGTTCCTATTGGCCGGAAACCGGGCAATGAGAGCTGAGAGATTGTGCAGGCGGCGCGCCAGGGGGGTGTAGCACAATACGCCAGCGCAGAGCCACATGAAACAGCCCGCCACTTTGAGTGACCTGCTGGGCTGCTGGCCAGAAACTGCTTAGTTAAGTGCCTCCGGGCCTGAGCCTGCCTCTGGCACCCCCCATCCTGTTCCCCAACTCCCTCCCAGATTCTGTACTCTGTCTTACACCCCTTCCTCAGGCCAGAATGCTATCCGGCACCCATATCCCCTCCCAGATCCTATAGCCCAATCCCCTAGATCACAACCTCCTCCTTCACCCAAATTCTCTCTCAGACCCCAAACCCTCTCCTGCACCCTGGTCCTCTATCCCAAGCTCCCTTCTGCACTCAACCTTCATTCCAGACCCCGCACCTCCTCTACAGAAGAGTGTGTTCTTAACCACTTACCAAAATCTTGGAGTGGCTCCCCATCAAAAATTATGCCCACCTAGCTCCATTCCCCAGCTGTCCCCTCCATGGGCTCTGCACTGGTTCTGGCAGTCCCCATCCCTTGGCCACTCCCCTCTCCCTAAGCAAAAGAGGAGAGCTGCTGCAAAAAGATCGCTGAGCCACTAAAAGTGCAGATCTTTTTGCAGGGCCCCAGGCTGCAGCCACTAACGTCCCTGAGTTCCAGCCCTGCAGGACAGGGAGGGGACACAGCTTTGCCATGTCCTCTCCCCACAACCATCAGCACTGTAGCTGCAAGAATGAAACACTTCTGATGAAAAGTAAAATTTTTCAGAAAATTATGAGCAGAAAGAGAAATATAAGGCTTATGACCAAACGCAAAATGTAACCGTAATTATAACATCCTTTACTGACAACACACTAAATCTTTAATCACTAAGCACTAGCGGCAAAGATGACAACAACTTGTCTGGGATATGTGTTTATGCTTCAGTGAAATATAAATTAACATTCATTTAGTGTGGGAATCCCACTTTAAAGAATTAAAATAACTTTTAAAGAAAATAAAGTAATAAATAGCTCTCTCTCAAAGTTTCTAATATTAGAATCAAGGACACTTACCTCTTTCTCTGCCTTTATGAGGTAAAAAAGCACCAGAAATAAAGGATCCATTGGTGTTGCAAACAACAGACGTCCATCTATGGACGGAAAGGTGAAAGAACATTTAATTCCCAGAACCATTGCATAGCAGCTTGATTATTTCCTTTTAATTTTACTGATAGGGATTAGAGAGTTTCCATGGAGCATGCAAGTAAATTCTGAAATTTTGTTTTATAAATGCTTTAATTTAAGAGGGCTCAATTCTCAATCATGCCTGTGCCATGTTCAAATACATTGGGACAGGGGTATTGATAGAAAGTTAACTGTAGCTCAATGATTTTGCTCTCCCCTAGTCTTGGCATAACTTAAACCTGTCACAAGTTAGCTTTAACACAAGCTGTAGGTGAAATCCCATCATCAGCATAGAATAATGCATAAATGAGGCCCTGCTCTTTTGTGGCCCCTTCACCACTTACACGAGGCAGCAAGCTCTGCTGTAGGAGGCAGAACTGTATCTAAATTCAGCAAGCTTTACAAAAGCCAGATTCCCTCTGCATGGGGTAGTTCTCTGGTGATTTCTTATGTGACACAAAGAGAACTTAGCAGACCAGAGAATATGGCCCAGTGTATATATTTCATAATATACAGGCAGTCCCCGGGTTACATACAAGATAGGGACTGTAGGTTTGTACTTAAGTTGAATTTTCCACCCCCTCCTGAAACTGCCCAGCGACTGACTACAGGAAGCCCGAGGCAGAGTTTCTCTGCTCTGGGCTTCCTGGAATCAGCCGCTGATCAGTTTCAACAGCAGCTGAATCTGGACGCCTGGGACAGAGCCCGGGTCCTCCGCGGCTTTGCTCCGCGTCTGTCTGGTCTGCTGGCCCCCCCACAGTAGACCAGGGAGACGCGGAGCAGCTTTTCTCACCCTGGAGGACACGGGCGGTGGGACCACGGCGCGTCTGGGCGGTCCCACCGCCCGCATACTCCGGGGCGAGAAAAGCCCCGTTTGTAAGTACGGATCTGACATAAGTCGGATCCGCGTAACTCGGGGACTGCCTGTATACTGATTGCTGGATAGGGCTTTCATTTAATGGAGTATTCATTATGGATAACTGGAAATTCATTAGATAAGATCTAGTAACTGATAATCATTTTACATTAGAAAACCAAAAATGAGCGTAGATATGTGGACCTGACAGCTAGAGAGAGGTTTATGTTTTAATTCAATAATAGCAAATTAAATTTCAACATACTTTTCCCATTTTGAATTTCCAAAATCTTGCCAAATCAAGATTAGGTTATTTGGCTTACTACTACTAATTCATATTTCAAAAAGGGTTGATTTTTCCAATGAAACACCTAATAGAACCAAGAGGCTCAATGGTAAATTATAATTTGTAATGTCTTTAATTAATTTCCAAATCAGCTCAATTTTAGAGTAAGATTGCCAATAAGTATGAACCTCATTCCTCAAATTCTGTATTCTTGTCATCTAATCCTCGTTACAGGTACCTTCTAATCTGATAGCTGAAAAGTACCATCATACTACTGAAACAGCAATTTTTGTAAAAAGAAGTTTTTCTGTATTTTGGGGACACAGAATACTCAATGTATTTCTATTTCTCAACACACATTTGTTCTCATAAAACCATTTCCCGTAGCAATAAGTCTAATACAGGCAGTCTCCGAGTTACGCGGATCCGACTTACATCGGATCCGCAGTTACGAACGGGGCCCGTCTCCCTGGTCTACAGCAGAGCAGGGAGAGGAAGCAAAGCGGCGGAACACGCGGGCAGCGGACGCGTCTGGGCTGTCCGCTGCCCGCGTGTTCCGCCGCTCTGCTTCCTCTCCCTGGTCTGCTGGAGACCAGGGAGAGGGAGGGCCCCGCTCATAAC